GCCCAGCAAAGGATGCAGAAGCTGGTTAGCCCTAGAGAGCTTTATTTCCCCTCTTGAATAACTCACTGACAAAATGTCAGGGGGCAATTAAATAAGTAGGAAGAATCTCTGGAAATATTGTGACTGACTAGCTCTACATCACCAAGCTTTTGTAACCAGATTGATACCAGATTAATTTATGTGTACTACACAGGCAAAGCTCCAGAATGAAATCAGTTAATCTGAAATTAGTCAGGGCTCACGAGTAAAGACACCGGAAATTGATTATCGTCCACCAACAACCAATCACTGCCAAATTTACATCCATCTACAGCTGCTTTATCTGGATCATAACATGCGAATACACTTCACGAGAGCATGGCGCCAGTTGCTGCATCCAGAGGTGATGAACGCATCATCTTAATTGTCATTTGACCCAAAATTCCCATGAGCATTGTTTGTGCTCGGTTTGAATCTGTGCAGCTGCACTGGGGCGGTTCTAACCATCGCTGGAAACCTTCAACAATGGCAGGAGGGTTAGAGTAACCAGTCTGCAATGCTCTCACAATTTAATGATATAATTCAAATTTCAACTGAGGTATGCTTTTGTTCCCTCATAGAACCGGGCCTTTTCTGGTGTGACCAGATTCTAAGACAGACAGCAATACAAAAAGATAAATACCAGTAAAGCTGGGATGGGTTGTTTTAAGCTCTTTCCTTTAATTGCCTTATAATCCGGAGGTCTCTCGGCCATGTGTGAGCACAGTATCCACTGGCGGTGTTACGTTTCTCAAGAAAAACCTATTGTTTGTGTGTTTAATCTACAATGAGCTATCATCCACATATGTGCAAATGTTTCATGTGAGGCAGCCACATCAAGGCTGTCAGTTCATCTGCAGATACGAGATCCCTCGGCCTGAACTCCATCACCGTACTTTTTTCCCCCTCTCTTTGTCGCCCTCAGCTCTGCAGGTTAGGACTAATGTAATCACAGACCCCTGCAGACGGGCCAGCACGGGAGACAGAAGCCGGGCCAGACGTACAGGTATTCTAAACTGGTTACATTAGACCAAACAGGCCATCTGTCTCCCTCTGTAATTGGACACTGTGGATTAGAAGGAGACGGCAGTGTTTCCCAGCCAAGTGGGCTAGTTACTGTTTATTTGGAATTAATTACCAAGGAGAGTGGAAACCTCACAGCTCCCTGAGAGTGAATCCAGACACTTGAGGCCGGGATGAGAGGAAGGAGAGCGCCATGTCCAGCTCTATGGCAACAAAGCAGGGAGAGTTCGGAAAGGTGTTTGACGCCGCTGACGTCTTGTCGCGTTTGAATCTCAGATGATGATGCAGCTGGTGTGTTGGAGTTAGGCAGAAAAGACGAAAGGCTTTTAGAGACTTCTCCAATTCGGTCACCCTAAACTAATGAATGGGTTTCTTCAGCAGTGGTAACGGGTATCCTGGTGTGATGCCATTAGCTGCTCTCATCCTGTGGGTGCTTTCCAAGAGTTGAGTGAAAGGACAAGAGTATATATCTCTTAAAGCCTGTGAGAACGGAGCATCTACCCTGGCACCAACACTTCTCATGTGATCCTCAGAGCATGTGGAGCTTTTTCCTCTCACAGAAATCACGGTGTACATCACCAGAAATGTTGCACGGACATGTTTTGATGTGTTTGGACAAGCAGGGAAATGAATGAATCCACTAACTCCATCTCTTTAAAAGCTGCTCTTTTTATTGTATCTACTTAAAAAAAAAATGTTGGTGAAGGGCTGTATCACTGCATTTTTTTCACTATGCTAAGTTTCAGTTTGCATGCAGTGAAATAAATGTACAAGTGAGACAACGCAATAAATTAGCATATAATTTACATTTGAAAAAAAAATTAGTAACAGTGTACCAACATTAATACCGAATATAAAATATACGCAACTAATCACATGATGCTTTTCATTTCTGTTGCACTTTAGGTACAGGTAATAGCAATGTGACATTCAAACATCCAAGTTCACAGCAATGAGTACCAGTTTGATTGATTTCACTTCTCTTTTTCTGGAGGTTCCATATCCCACAGCCAGTAGATGACTTAGTCCAAGCAATTTCAATTTCTCAGCATTCACTGTCCTTTCCCACCTGCCTCACTTGAGGCTCGGCCACCACTGAAATCTGCTCGACGTCGTCATACTGAAAGTGGCTACAAAAAAGTAGCAGCAGCAAAAAAATTAGAAATTAGTTGTTAACAGCTTCAATGAGATCCTGGCACACTCCTACATTGTCTTGATTTCTCAGACTCGCACTGTACCTCCACGACAAGTGTGTGATGGAGACGTTTCGTAGGTTGTTCCCTTTCTTAACCCCTGCACCAGCAGAAATGTCACCTGGGTAAAGGGATGGGTTACAACTGGGTTGAGTGTCCATTTTGTTGGTAGCACAAACAACAATACGCGGTTAACAATGAAAATTCCCAGTGTGAGGTATAAACAGATACAAACAAAACAATAACATGACCAGCATTTACCAACAGAGATATTGACAGGATATTATTTCATATTGTTTGGATCCAGCCTCACTTTTAAGCACACTGGAGAGGGTTGAATGGAAGCACCCACTTGATAGCACCAGAAGCCTGGGAAGGCCGTAACCCTCAGAGCAGAGCAGGAGGAAAAGAAGAGGTAAACACAGTACTCCATGAAATAAAAAAAAAAGACGGAAAACAAAAAAAAAAAAAAGAAAAGGGTTGGGGGGGTGAAAGCACCACTGAGTTGGCTGTTTTTGTCTTTTTGCAGATGATGAGAGAAAAGGGAAAGACGATGAGGAGGTAACTTTATGTGGAGCGGCTGTTTGCTACGTGGTCTGGCAACATCTCCGCAATTAATGTGATGGCTGAGTATATTTAGCACTGGCCCCTTTTTTAAAGGAATAGTCAGCTTATTTACTTTTTTGCAGAGTTAGATGAGAAGACCATTACCACTCTCAGGTGTGCACCCTGAATGTAAAGCAGCAGCGACTTTAGCTGGAGGACTGGAAACATCGAGCCTGGCAGCACATAAAGATACAGAAAAGTTGGGAAGAACTGGCTGAAGTTCTAATCTACACTACATGCTATAACTGTATAGAGGATATCTGACAAATCCACACACACCGACAATGCAAGTGATCTGACTGCACATGTGGTTCTTGTTTTTTATGTCCAGGTAACTCAAGTACCTTCACATATTCAAGATGAGTAATGAACATGTCTCTACTTCCACTTCTGGCAGACTCAAGATGATCCCAGTTTCTGTCACTATCACTGGACACTGTCCATTTACCTAAAGTTGAGCCATTTGTTCCCCTGCAGAGTATTTTCTGAAGTGTTGAGCTCAGCAGGGGGCACAGGGCTGCAAAACTGGTTTCAGAACAAACCACAGCTGTGGGTGTCCTAGCTTTTTGAATCTGGATCTATGAGTGGCTTTTAGAGCTCAAGAGTTACTGGTTTAAATCTTTAAATGTTAAATGGAGGTGTTTATGTGCTAAACGATTTCTTGGCCCAAACAAGCCCCTAGAGACAACATAGCTGGGCTGTAGAGTCATGTTTGGTGTAACAGCCACATGGGTTGCTGCAACTTCTGCGTTCATCACATGACGTACTTTAAATACATTTTTCGCAAATCCCCTGAAATGTCTTCTGCAATTTTCAAAATGTCAAATGTTAGACTGAATCATGGGAGTCTGAATCAGTAGCTCCAGACATACAGACACACAGTGCATGTTACTGTAGTGTGTTACTGCCTGTTTACTGACAGACATCGAAAACCACATAAAAGCATATAACGTGATAACACATTGTTTGCTGTTGAGCTATTGATCTTACACACGATGCTGGTCTCGGCTAGTTTTGCGCTAAATTTGCTTAAACTTGCTCTTCCTTCCCTTTCAGCCTACATTGCATAAAACCTTTAGACAGAGCCAGGCTAGTGACGACAGCTTCATTTTCAGTGCACAGACATGAGAGTGGTATCGATCTTCTCCTTCAACTCAGGACAAAAGAGGGCAAAAAAGCACTTTTTCCAAACTATCCCTTTCCCTTATCAGCGCTGAAACCATGACAATCACATGACCGAGCAAACATCTGATCAAAAAAAAACCATCCAGCCTGAAGATATACAGGAAATAGTGACTGAACTGTGATCCCAGCAAACAAGCTGCTTCATAGCATGTGCTCCTTCAAAATGAATCCTTCAATAGTGAACTGAAGCTCCTCAATGGGATGTTTAGTAAAGGCCAGTTTGGTAACAGTGTTTCATGCGGCCCAGGCACCGTCTGACAATATCTTCATACTACTGTGGACTGACACTGGTTGAACTTTGATTTGAGTAACTAAGGCACCCGACCGGGGAAAGAAAAGATGGAATAAAAGCTCGCCTATAACCACTTGGTATTTTCTGGTCCAGGATAAACATTATATATAATATACAAATCCTTACGCTATATAAGGGTTTAACATATCTTACAGTATGTAGTATTTTCATTCCAGCACAGAGACATTGAAATTCAATCACATTACATTCCCTTCCATGACAGTAGGCTACTATCTGACAAAAACATGATCAGAGGACAATATCTCAGCTCTGTTAGGAATTGTACAATAAATATACAGTACACCGATGGGGTTTCTCTGTCGTATTTGAGCGGTAAATTGTAAATAATAGTATTTACATGAAAAAGTGCACCGAAGCCAAAAGTCTGCCTGCCAATAGCACCATCACAGTCGTCCCAACGACACGAGTCTGACACTTTCAACTCCCATCCCCCTCTTCTGGTGAGGAGTCCTTCCCCTCCGTCTGTCCGTGTCCGGGGTACATCCTGTGTGAGCGATGTGTCCAGCACTTTGGATTCATAGAAACAACAAACATGGAGGAAGACTAACAATGGTATCAATAATTATTATTATAATAAAAATAACATCACCAACAAATAATCTTCTAAGTTCCACTTCACAGAAGTGAAAAAAAAAAAAAGTTTGTGTCAGCGTTATGAGCTGAGCAGTGGTTTGGATTCCACCATGATGGAGGGCAGGAGGGTCAGGTGTGATAGACAGGGAAGTCCTCCACCTCTTTCACCAGCAGCTCTCTTTGTCCATGGTCCACTGGTCCAGAGTTTTGTTTTCCAGTCTCTGCCCTGTTTCCTTCTCCTCTCCCTTTCAGTGCTGTGTCAGCCTCCCTCCACCTTTGTTCCGGCCTTTCTCTGTCTACGCCTCGTACTTGTGCTCCGAGGGTCAGTGTCCCTGGCAGGTCTTGCAGCACATCTGTCTGAAGTACGCTCGGCTGCAGAACTTGAACTTCAGCACCAGCGGGCAGTAGGCCACTTTGTTTACATCTTTGCATTCTGGAGACAGAGTAAATGAAAACAGGGTTAATTTAATCTTTTAAACTTTTTCATGAGAAAGAGGTGAACTGCTTCCAGCCCTAGTTTATGCCTCCTGTGTCATTGCACATTTATCTCTGTTAGGTTGTGTTTGCATGTGAGTGTTGCAAATAAATTGATGCACCTTCTTATTTAACTAGATGACGCTGAACTTACTTTGGACACTCAGAAGATCTGGTGCTCTGAAGGTTTTTCTAGAAACCTCAAAGTTAAACAATTTAATTTCTGGCTACCAGAAACGTTGCATTAAATTAAAAACTTTATTATTAGTTACCGTATATCACCAAAGCACTAAGCTATATTTAAGGCTTTTTGAGACATTTAATATCATATATAATGAATCACATTTAATACCTGTTGAACGATCCAAAGGCCCAAAAAAGGAAACCAGCAGGTGATGATATAACTGAATATTACTTATTAGTTATCAATGAATTAAACATTTTTCAGTATTTCACAGCAAAAGTGTACATGATGATGATTCCTCATTACACAGTTGATTAAATGAACAAGACCTGGAAGGGTTGGTTAAATAAAAATGATTAATTTATTCACCTAACTTATTTTTTACTGCTAAACAGGACCGTAGCCAGTTTGCTGCAAGTCTGACGTTGCTGACTGAAACTCCATTTAAAGACCCAAACACGTAGTTCATAGGTTTGTAATGTCTCCTGACATCCTGCAATCAAAAACATTCGACAACTTTTACTGCCAACAGCTGGCAAGATTTTTTGAGGATACTGCATTTAAAGTCCAGCAGATCCTCCTCAGTAGCATATACTGATGTTTCTTTGTAACATTTCAAGTAAAACGTCACTAAAAGACAAAGAATCAGGTGCTCAAGGTAATACACGAGAGGCACAAACTTGGTCTAACCTGCTACATCAGTGCTGGTGCATCTCCCTCAGGCCTTAACATAATAAAACTATACTTGGACGCGGAGGCTAAAGCTGAGACAGATCCTGGCCTCGTTCACAAACTGGGCTGTCTGCCATCCCTACCATGCACACTCAAATACACACACATACAAACTGCTTGCTGGATGCCGGACAGGCAGTGCTCTAAATGCCTTATCACGATCAGAGTGTCTTCCCTTATTAGGCTTTGGCCCCTGCCTCCACAGAGCCAAATGAAACGAGACATTGCCTCACTGCTGTCCGTAAAGGAACAATTAGCCTACAGCTAATCCCATTAGCCAGCCTGTAAACGCTGCTCACGTTTTCCATTCAGCCTAATCAAAAGGCCCTTCTCTATGCATCTGAATAGCCATCCATCATGTGTAAGTGTATATGGAGGGTTGAGCTGTTTCGCTTTGACCAGGAGCCAACCTCACTGGAAAGATTAATGTAGCTGGCAAAGTGTAGAAGAGTGTGTCATCCAAGTGTGTTTAGGTCATAGTAGAATAGTGGAGATGAAGATAGAGACAGTTTATAACCTTTCCAGTCGAGGCTTTGCACATATTGTACAATGGGTATTCACATAAACCATCTGCCTTCACATTTGAAGGGAGCTGCAGGTTGAAACAGAGACCTGCGTCTGTTTGGTGACCACACACTTTCTTCTTGGCTGTGATGAAAAGTGCAAGCCGACAGCTCGTCACACAGACGAGTCGAGCCAGAGCTATTAAAATGTGATGGCAGGCTCACACATGTGCTTGCTGTACAGTACAGTGCAGTACAGCACAGTGCAGTACAGCAGGGTACAGTGCAGTATAGTATGTAACCTTACCGTCGCCATTGGAAATGGGGGTGGCGTCACACTTGCTCTCACACTGCTGCATGGTGGTGGGTCGTAGGGACTCTGCACACTCATTCGACGGCTGCCCGGTGTATGACAGACACTGCACTGTCCTCATCTGCTGGCCCAGACCGCACTGCGCCGAACACTGCAACAGAAAAACATCAGAGTAAGACTCATTGCATATGCAGGAGAGAATTCAGCAGCAGAACGTAACAAGGTAAGTGAGATCCATTCGTCCTCTGTGAGAAGTGGGCAGAGTCGGAGCCCCCCCATGCACCCAGACACATTACACTGCATGACAATCGATTCAATCGAGCAATCATCAGCAAGTACGCAGCCAGGGTCCCTTTCCCTTTTTACTTAGTCACCTGGCTGCCTGTCAACGCTGTGATTCCCAACTCAGTGTAACCAGGTCAACAGCTTCCTTACAAGTTTTCATGAGGAAAGTTTTGTGATACGAGGGGAACCGAATATTACCTCCTGTTTCTCCTTAGAGAAAGAGAAGCTTCAACCAGCACACACTGGAGTCAATCCCAGCTGAAACTGTGTGAGAGGGTAAACCCTGGGAAGGTCGTCCTGCTTTCTCCACCTGTATTTTCATTTCCATGCAATTTTTAATTTGGTCTTATTTGCTTTTGTATCATTTATTCATTATCCTTTGTAACAACTTTTTAAAAGATGCATGGACAGCCAACATTTCAAGGTCTTATGACAGTAACTAAATGTTTTGTTCATTGCTAGTGGATAATAATACTCTATGTTGTGGAACAACAGTCCCCATAATTTTGTGGCCTTTGTGAATGTAAACAGGAATTATAATGTTGCTATGGAATCATTGAGTTATGCTGTAGGCTGCAACTTAAATCCCCATCCCCTTCTTTCCCTATGTTTGGCAAATTGGCACCAATAAAAGTTTGCTGATTCAACAATGAGCAGTTCCAGTTTATATCTGTCTGTACAGACAGATATCAAACTGTAGTTGTGATCGACAACATCACTGATGAGTCCCAGTTGCTGCTGCTCCTGAACACTGATCGCCTGTTTGTTCAAAGTCTATTACTATTGAATATCTTGCATCTCGAAATCTCATTAATTCCAATACTGCACTTCCTTGGGCCCTGAACAATACAAGGTGTACGCTTCTTAAGTTCCACATACAGACAGAGTTTTCTGGAATTATTAGATTAGATAGATTTAACACTTAATTGTGCTTGTTTTTTAAATTGTCTCTTTATCTTTTTCCCCTCTTTTCCTGTTGCTATACTGTTTTAGATGCTTTATAACATCTTGCTTCAACATATCGTCCATGTTGGCTTTATCCCCTCAGAGAAGACTCTGTTTGATGGACTCATCTTGACAGCACAACCAAGAGAGAAAATGTTTTCTGAAAGTTGTACTGAACCCAGAATGTGCACCTGCATGCCTTTGTCTGACTCCTATCGATGTGCCAGTCATCATAAAAACTTAAGATTGATTATATGGGTGGCCATTAAACTCTTTTGCAATGGAATAAAAAAAAAGAAACAAAGACAGACTATGAAAACAACTCCAGGAGGTGCCAGCACACATTTGGCCGAACACAAGTCTCAAATAAAGTGGATCTCCTAATAATTAATCAACTTTGGAAGCACTGAGAAATAACACACCTGTCATCCATGGCTATGTGTGTGCCCGCGTTCGAGTGTGTGATGTGAACCCAACCATCAACAAACCTCCGCCTCCCGCTGACGAGAGAACTACCAGGCTTTCTGTCACCTTTGCTGATCCTCTCTGGCTGCCTCAGATCAGTGAGCCCGCATGTCATCCCTTCCCAATTAGAGAGTCTTTATTAGGGCCCACTGCCAGCCATGACAGATGGTGTACGTCAATGGCGTGACTTAAGTGGGATTTGAACTGGTTTTGGCCTGGGAGACCAGGCGTTCTGTAGCTGGCAACAACCTCCTCTTTCTGATGCTTCGAGGGCCGTCCAGCGAGGGCGAAGCTTATAATTACAGCCAAAAAAAAAAAAAAGAAGAAGAGGTGGATACAGGGGGAGAGGGTTTCACACACACATACACACACTCTCCACACACCTCTGCAGTGCATGAGAAAGTGCTGCGTAAGAGCAGACTCCAGCTGTTGCTCTACGAGGCGTTAGTGTCGGCTCGGCGTGGCGAGGAGCCCGGGCTTTGATGGACCACGCTGAGGTTATCAGTCAGCTCGGCTTTGTTTATGACTGTTATTGGCACTGATTGAATTGTAAAAGTGTCTTATTGATGTTTGCGGACGCACATGTGGTGAGGAGAAGCCAAGTCTGTGACCCAGACTCCCTGACTCTTGACCTCTGACCTGAAAAACACAGCGCTGACACCACGACATCTCTTCCAGTGAAGTATTAGTCATCCGTCCTCTAAACATCAGAGCACACTGTTTAAAAATTCCACTTTTGCACTAAATTATTAACAAATTCTGCAAAATAACAAGCCATACTTTTTGTAGATACAACTTTTCCCTGACGCACGTTTTTCTGGCGTCCTCTCGCTAACATGAGTCAGCTGTGTTATAAAGTTCAACAGCTTTTGCTAAGCTCTCTAAGCCATGTCAGGGTGAACCCGAGAACGCTACTCCTCGGTCTTCCCCTAAATCGTGTTCCTGGAAGTGATAGAGAGGCCTGGTCCGAGGCAGAGATAAACTTCAAACAGCCAGGAGTATATTACTGCCACTGATCACACACTCCAGGCCTATTGGAGCACTTGGACTCCAACACACAAACACAGCCTCTACGCACACACACACGTCACAAGCCTGCTTACAACCCCCCAACCTCTGTGTGTCACCCTGGTGTAAATTATATTAACCATTGACCAACACATGGAATATATCTGTGCGTCTTTTAAACATTCGAGCAATCCTTTTAAAGGATTAACCAGCGTACTGTTGTATCACTAAAATCTTTGTTCTGAGATGTGAAGGAGGTTGCTGTCCTACCTGTCCCCATTCACCAGGGATCCAGCGAGGAGGAGGACATCGTCCCAAACTGCAGCGGATTCGAACAGGAGGTTTGTTGTGGCTCGGGCAGTGGGCGGGCGGGAAGGTCTTTGTCAAATCGCTGCTCTTACACAAGGCGATGCGGTGCTTATAGCCGGGCCCACATTTAGGTGTGCACTAAAGAGAGAGGAAGAGGTGTAAGAAGAAGAAGAGGGTCCACACAGCACAATGAGGACAAAGAGTTTCAGAATATCGTCTTACCTCGGACCAATCCAGCGTGACCCACTTAGGAGGGCAGGACTGGTTGTTGCAAGACTCTTGCTCGATAGGCCTGTGAGTCAGACAGTGGGTGTCCTCCAGCGTCTCCTCCTCAGCAGGCCCTATCTTCCTGATACACAGGACTGTCCTCGTCCTTATCCCGCCGTCACACGTCTTCCCACACTCGGACCAGTCGCCAATAAACCACCTGATGGACGGTAACATGACGTCAAACAGACGAGCCAAAGATAACAGCTTAAAAGTCTAAAGGGAGTTTTTCAGTGTTGTTATTCCAGTGTGTTACTGTTCACAACCCATCTTTGCAAAAAGGATATTGATCATTTAGAAAAAAATAAATTTATAACACTAGAAACAGCCACTAAATGTCAGGTCAAGTTCAACAAACAAGTTATTTCATTGCTTCTTGTACTGCTGTTCGTGTTCAGACAACATGTCACATCTGAGAACATAGCACTCTGTTGACTCTAGTCTCAATCTTTCCAAAAAATACATTTTCATAACTCTGAAAGCAAGAAACTGAAACTCAAATGTTGGATCTGCATGAATATTTAATCTAATTTATAACATTTTCAACAATAACCAGGGCCACAAATACCGAGATGACACATAGGGTCCGCTTTTTATCGACTGGTGATGTGGTTATTTGATTAATTGAAAACCTATTAGGAAATATTAATATGCAACTTACAGTTACACACATTCTTTTTTTGCTTATTTGCTTATTCATTGAAATGTATTGGTAAAAAAAGCATGTCACAACTGCAGAATCCAACAAGACGTCTTTAAATCAATTGACCAAAGGTATTCAGCGTTCACTATTCTGCTATACTGTTTTTACACAACTGAAGGCTGCCACAGGTTCTCTGTCATGTTTAGTAGGGGAGGGTGAGGTGAGGGCTGCAAAATGACACTTCACCTCTAGATGTCACTAAATTCTACACACTGAACCTTTAACTTAAACACTTTTCAATGACAATATGCATGAACCCTTGTGACCTGGCAGACACGTCACCACCATGTTATGACTATGCTCGAGTGTCACGTGTTGGGCCATGCCAGCCTGCTGAGCTTCTGACCTCCACAAAATAAGAACTGGTGTTGTTCAATCCCTCGTCCACACATTTCAGAATTAATATCATAAACCTGCCCAGACAACGGCCATCCAAACACATGCAGCCTGTGAGCTATTACATCATCTGGAAGAATGTATACAGAATTAACAACGTGTTCAAACATCTGTTCGCTTTCATTACTCCAGCCCATAAAACTTGGGCTATTCTAAAACAATCGTGTTTACATGGTCTCCTTTTGTCTGCCTTTCCTGAGGCTGCATAAGAGCCTGGGCCTTCCTGACAGGCACAAATGCCATGTGTGCAGTGTAACTCAACACACACGTGCACCTTCACAGTTTTCAAGTATTAATCACAATAAATGAGATTGCACAAGTCTTCCACCACTGGATACAGATGTGGAAATATATAACATGTAGACTGTAGTATGATTGGAGGGAAACTAATGACCACTTACACGGTAGATTTACGATACTATCAGTTGTTTTGGCTGAAGCCCAGAAGAAAGACACCAACGCTCATTCTCATACACAAATAATCGTTAGATAATCTGAATCTAATTAACACGATGGATTTCATCCCTCTCTCTCTCCAGACATGATTGAAGTGAGTCTGGCTGTGCTTCCAGCTCCAGCACAGGGTTTACGGACATTTGGCCACCAAACCTGAGTTCATATTCCACCTGTATACGTGTGTATTACCCCTCCAGGATCGGTAAAGACGCCAAAACAATCAAACACAGGTGGTCATTTTCAAGGCTCTTATTTTTGGCAAGAGGCAAACACTGAAAATAGTTAACATATGCAGTTATAAATCACTGCCCTTTTATTTTATTATTTTCTCCCAAACACGTTTTACAAGCAGGACTCATTGAAGGTGAGAAATATCAGCAGTCCGACGCACTTCTTAGAGGGTTTTCCTTTTGAAAGCATTAACTTAAAGCTGCAAGACTCCACACTTTATATGAACAATGGATCAAAGGTCCACGTGTAATGTGACAGGTGTTTGCTTGGAGCGACAAAGCAACAGAACATTATCACTCGACGCAGTATTCCTCAGTTGTACGTCGCATTTTAGCACCTGTTAGCTCATTGTTTTGGTTTTACAGACTCAGACTTCACTGTTTTGGTTTAGTCTCACTGCTGTCACCAACCAGACACTGTTTCTCGAATGTAAGGAGTTTTGTGTGATTAATATAATTGGAACTTTAACAGATTTTGGATTTTTTTCGACATCAGCTGGACAAAACAAGTAATCTGAAGACTTTCTGAAGACTTTTTGGAAGCGGCTGTTACTCAGGAGTCAGGGTGGGTTGTCCACTAACCAGTGGTTTTGGTTGTTTGATCCTCATCCTCCCCATTCCGTGTGCCGGCAGTGTGTGAGTGTTGTATGATAGAAAAAAGTGCTGCGCATAGATTCACTGAACTAATGTGTGTGTGAATGGGTGAATGGCAAAACTGTACAGAAAAGAGCTTTGAGTCGTCATCCAGGCCATTTTCACTCATTTCTGACACTTAACAAACAACTGAGGCGATTAATTTATCAACTAAACAAGCTGTGAGTTGATAGTGACAACTATCAAGGTTTAGTGAAACATACTCTGGGGGACACGGCTCAGTGTTGCAGTCCCTCTGGTTCTCTGGAGGTTTGCTGTCTGGGTCACAGTAGCTGTTCTGCACCACCGAGTTGTCGTCCAGTCTCTTACACACCACTTCCTGCTTCTGGGAGCCTGCAGGGAGGGAAAAGACGGATCAATAAGGCAGCAGAGGGCTCAGCTGATCTCTCACATTAAATCACCTCAGAAACATGGAAGCCGGCCGTCGTGTCGAGCGCTGTGTTTGAGCGGACATGGTATCACTTTCAGTCTGTAGCAAATCCAGACATGTAAATTCCTGATTCTTTGCAGGATATCTTGGCAAATCACTTTTACAGAGCAGAGAGCTCTTTACTTTGGCTTCTAATGGAGAGAGCGAGGGCTACTGTATCTGTGTCACAACTCCCACTGTGTGTGTGTGTGTGTGTGTGTGTGTGTGTGTGTGTGTGTGTGTGTGTGTGTGTGTGTATATGCCATAGCAACTCAGAAAGGGTCTGTTTGGACCCTCATGGGACATATCCCACAGCAGACTTGTCTAGCAGCTGTAATGAGATATGGATGCATGTGTGTGTGTGTGTGTAGTATAGAAAATGTACCCATCTGTTCTTCCAGTGAAATACAGTTTGGAGGAATAGTGCGAACCATGGGGTAAAGGACTTTCAGTTGTAAGGCTGTCAAAAGGTGTTTTTCATAGATTTTATTAGTGCAGTGATATATTAAACAACACTCCATGATTAGCTGAGCTTGCTGTATTGAATGGGAGCATGATTAAATTACATTTTACAGATTTAAAGCTCTGTGCGATCAGAGACACACACTAGACACAAATTAGATCATTTGGATCAACAATGCAAAGGCATGTTTATGACGCTGGAAGGCCATGTGTGCTTCCTCGTCTAAGGAATCGCTTCAAACTTCTGCTCTGGACTTGGAAATCCTTCCTCAGAAAAACCCACATGCTTATTCAGTCATGCTTTTACAAAATATTACAAACCCATCCAGGCCACGCTTGACAACTGGGAAGCAACACTGTTTATTGTTACATGAAACCCATTGCTTTTGGGCTAAAAGGTTTGGTTTAGTCATTCTTGAGGCCATGGTCAGCATTTCAGTGCGGTTTCAGATTTTGAATGTTTGACTTTGGAGGACAAGCGTTCTGGAAGAGCAGCCATATCTGTGTGCAGCTCTGGTAAACCAGAAGCTATGCAGAGCAGCTCATTCACAGAAATTACACCATATTCATTACTCTGGATAAAATATGGAAAATATACATATTGAATTTATTAGAGGGCTGAATCTCCAGGCTATAAAGTAATGATTTTGGAAACCCATCTCAAATTATGATACTGGGTTTCAACACACTGCTCTTCAGCATTTGTGGAATTATTGGTTAGGGGAGATTTACAGAATGACACACACACACACACACACACACACACACACACACACAAGATGTGAAGTATTAAATATTTGAGAAGGTTAGAAGCATTCAAAAAGACTTTAAACACCCACAGCATGTTAGGGCATTCAACACCAAAATGCTTGGAGTGCTATTTTTCAAAAGGCAACTGGCCACCGGAGCTCAGCAGAAGGTCGACACTGAGAAGACAGTATCCTTCCCTCACAGAAAAATAAACTTTGATAATGAAAACTTACACAACAGTTTTAGAAAATCAGTGTTTATGAAGAAAAGAGGGGGAAAAAAGTCATATTGTATGACATGTAACTGGCGGCTAGACCGCGCTCTGCTTAAAATAATCTGTTTAATGTTGGAATTGATTAAAAGATAAATAAAAAACTATGTAACACGAGAATAAAATGCAGTAAGTGGAATGTTTCTGTGTTTGGCTCCTGACAGAGCTAAAGAAAGTAGCTGTTATTTAATCAAGAGTAATTTAAGGCACGAGAGATCTTTTGAAAAATGAGCTGCAACTGTAGAGGTTTTGCTTTTGACAAAGTCCATTTCCATGCACCTGCTTAATGCACAATTTAAAGGTACAGTGAGTAGAATTTTGTGATGCTAAAATTGCATGTTGCAGCTGAACACCCTTCACCTCACCCTCTTCTTCTACACATGAAAAAGAGCCTGTGGTAGCCTTCAATTGTCATAGAAACTCAAAAGGTGTTTAGTTTGTTCAGTCTGGACTAATGTAAAAAACATGGCAGCCTCTGTAGAGAGGGTCCCCTCGATGTAAATATAATGTATTTAAATATAAAGGACCTTTTCTGGGGTAAAGAAAACTACAATTCATACAATTTAGATGAAATGAACTAGTGAAAACATCATGAGAATTATTCTACATTAAATTTCTGCCAATAGATCCCTTTCACCTAAATCTTACACACTGGACCTTTAAATAAAATGCAGGAGTTGAAATAAAAGTCAAAGGTCACAAAAAAGTTTTACACCAAGCTATAACTGGGGGAAAAAAGAGTAAATCAATAAAAGCAAAATGCAAGTTGCAGTGCCGACTCACCTCCAGAGCAGGTAGCCGAGCATTCAGACCAGGGCAGGTGGTGCCAGGAAAAGCCAACCTCATTGTCACCACTTCCTGTGCGCTGGATGGGCACGTTGAAATTGTAGCGTATTCCCATGTTCTGCTCCTGAAGCAGGACCTGAAATAAGGAGATAAGCGAAAGAACAGGTGAAGACAGAGAAAGAGAAATAGTCTGGTTAAGCCAGGAGTGAATTTATAATGAAATATCCATGTTGAGTATGACAACATAAACAATTATTCAATCAGGTGTTTGTGTGCATTCCTACAGCGCTGAGTTGAATTGCTAAAGCTGCATCCATTGTGTTTGTTGGGATTTTGCTTTTTTGCTACAAGGACTGAGCCAAAATCTGCAAACACAACACTGACTTATTATTAAACAGTTGTTATGACTGGAGTGTATGTTTAGAGTTGCGTTTGACACCAGCCCGATGTTCAGTCCCATGAGTTCATTCTTTTTTTGGTGGAATCAGCTGAAGAGACTGAGACTGACACAAACAGCTAAAGTTGTGCTCAGTAAAACCAAAAACAATGAGGTGAGCGGTGTAAAAAACAAGTTCAGAATCAGGTGTTAATCCCCTGTGGGTTTCTCACTATGATTGAGCCCTTTCAGATTACACGTGCAAATGTGATGCATTGTTAACATGCAATTATTGATCACTATATTTTTATGAACAGTCCAGATCACTGGGCCCCTGGTGGGCTTGTATTAGTCTGCTGGATGCAGAAACTGAGGAAGTGAGGCACAGCTTTGAAAGCCACAAAGAAATCGCTAGTGGTGGAGTGGCCAGTCTATTCCAAACCATGCTGTGTGGTCTGGTATTTTCAGCATTCATGTCAAGGCAGAAACCACTGCGCATCACAGCCAGAAAATGCTCAGTTGTCTCGCATCAACACGCAAATACGTCACGAAACCCATTACAAAAATAAGTGTATCTATGGTTCTTAACTTGCAAACTGTACAACAACCCACAGTAGACAAAGTGACACTGCGTTTGCACTCAGCAAAATCGACATATGAAGAGCTTTCAACCCCAAACCACTGGCTGTGGGTGATCTAAGGTTAGCACCCAGATGTTGAGTTTAAGTGAACTGACGCAGACCAACATGAAGTCTACATCAGGACTGCAAACACACATCAATACAGAGCTGCAAACTGAGGAGGCGCTTCAGGTTTCCCAGGTTACAGAAGTCGTGAAGACTGTGTCGTGGGTCTCAGGTGGAAGTGACAGCCAGCCTCAACAGTGGTTTCATGTTTTTCCACCGACAGTTAGATGTGAGGAAATAGATTTTAAAATATTCAAAGTTCTACAAACATAAATTACTGTTAAATATGAACAGTACTCTATTTTACACCAGTGTCCCTTACAGAGAGAAGTAAGCTATATCCTTAAAAGATGAAAACATCAAATCACTGAGCTTCAAATTCAGTTGTGTGCGTCGCTGACAGTGAGCAAAGACTAAACATTATTTTTGGGAGAAACCTGATTAAGAACTCAGGTCCCAAAAGGAGATCATGTTTCGCTTTTGTAACTACGATGCAATATTTTCTGTCCAACATCTACACACCTAGGACACCTAGAAACATGGGTAGTCGTAGTGTGGTATTTGGAGTCAGCTGCCCTGCCAAAGCTTTGCCAACATCAAGTATCCAGGAGACCTGTTGTATCGCTACAGCCATTTTCACATATGAACTCTGGAGAATGTCCGCACAATTGGGTCCAGACTTTCTCGGGAGTTTGCCTTCACACACGAACAACGCAGCAGGAGATTCCAGAAGAGATTCTGGAAACTCCGGAATAATGTCGGTGCCGAATAGCGTCAGGACATTATCTGGAGTTCAGTGCAATTCCGAAAGCGGCTCAAGTTAAGTAACACTGAGGAATATCTTAAAGAAAAGAACAAGTAGGAATTTACAGTGAGGGAAATAATAAATGTTCTATTACCATGACGACCAGGTTTTCAGTGGTAGCTCCCAGTGCCTCTAAAGACTCCGGTTCGTCAGAGGGTCTCTTATAGTGGAAAGCCGTCCCCGCGATGTCGAACTTCCTGGGCCAGTCAATGGTCCACGCTCCATTGATGTAATAATCATCCCCTTCAGATTTCAAAGCTGGGGGATCACAGAAAGTAAGAAACACTGTTAAAAGGCTGGAATCAAAAGCAGACGGAACGGTAGCTGAGGCAACAGGTGAAGACAATCATTTGGTGTGATGTCATTGCAGTTGTTCGTCTTCATCACCATCATCATCATTTTCAGCCTCCCTGAAGCCACTGACAACTTTCTATCCCTCGGCAGACTGAGCAGAGACACGCTGTATAATGAAGACATTTACGTGCACCGACAGGTACAATACGTCTAATTTGGGGAGAGAAAGAAAACACACTTCAGGTGAAAGCCTGGACGAACCTCATGAATACCACTCTGTCTGGTTGTCAAAACAAAAGTTGGTCTCCAAGCACAACAGATCTGAAAATATCCACATTTCCCTGCATTGAAATGGGGCCAAATTGGGGAGAAATGATCCAAGCGTTCTCTGGCTCGTGCTCTCCAGACTCCCCTCTGCTGTATTTAAGTGAATGAGATGGGCAACAGTTTACTCGTCTTTAATGCATCACAGTCTTCTCGATAAATTAATTATCAGCACATCTGGTTCAGGCAGCGAGCATTGTGATTTTATTATTTGGACCTGTGCAGTTAACACAGGTCTTCACAGGACGTGTACAGTGTTTTGTATTGTCTCACTTGGGTTTTGCTTTCACAAAATACAAAACATTACAAAAAATTAAAACCTGACCTGAATAGCCAGGACTCAGACAATGCTACAAAAGCAAAACATTATCTTTATCACCGTGGTCACAGATGAAATTCATAACAAAGTTACAAATTGTTGGACGGGGAAATCAAGTCCGACACAATAGCCAAAATTTCACTCTTTAAACTTTGATATATAGACATCATATCCTCCATAATCCTGGTGGACCAGGCAGCTGTCACCACGGCCCTATAAATCTGATGCAGCTCTCCGGTTCAAAGTGTAACTTAAGCCCTCCATCAACACCATCCGCTATGAATTCAACACGCTGTCACATGTCTTTCTCTGGCTAATGAAAAGACACAGGACTGGCCTAATTTAATCCACTCGTTTGATTGTTTTGGTTCTGATGCTGCCAGTGTTGCAAATAGTCTTTGTTTAGTCTGGAACAGAAAGGATAAGTTTGATGCCAAGAGGATCATCACACATGCAAAGATTTAGTTTTCTGTTTTTGTTTTTTTGTTGTTTTTTTCTAACAGGCTGTGTTATTGCTTCACATTAGGCAACAGGAGATTAAATGATGGCACTTTCTAATTTTCTCTTGACAAGGAAATCCCTGGAAATGTGGTTGACACAGAACGGAACACATAATATGAAACAGCTTGATGTTGCAAATTGCCAATTCATAACACTGCAGTGAATTACAGGGTCTGCTGAGACTGATGGATAAATGATGAAACCAGAGTCTACAAAGCTGAACGCAGTGGTGTTTTGAGCTTATTGCAGATTTTAAGGGGGTATGATGTGTTTAATATTCCCCAAACTTAGATTAGAGCTAGCTAATAAGTGATATAAATGTCTGTACCAAATTTCATGCTCATCTGTCCAAAAGAAGTTGAGGTTTTTACTGGGCGACAAACATGTCAACCTGACCGCTGCATTGGAAGATAGGTTATTGGATCTGCAAAATCATCCTCGGATGGCCATGAATGTTTGATGATAGTTGTAAAGACATTTTGCGTGAGTGTCGATCTTATGGTGGTGCTTGACAAAAGTCAAAAATCATTAGGATTCACCTTCTGGAGACCCTGAATATCTTTGCAAAATGTCATGAAAATCAGTCAAACAACTCTAAAATACAAAGATATTAACCTGCTGGTGGTTCAAGACTAGATTTCAGGGGATCATCGAAGTGGGCTTCATCCTCTGGGAGCCATGAATGTTTGTGCAAAATTCCATAGAATAATTTCAGCCTGGACCAAAGTGGGTAACACACCAACATCAACATTCCTGAATCCCCACCGCTGGTAGGACTAATTAAAATAAATCAGTATAATTACGTATATAATTTATTGACTTTGAGGCCATTACTTACCGATATAATTCTTGGACATGGCAACTTCTTTAATCTCGATATGAACTGATCCTTTTGGGATCTGAACCACCTCCATGTAGCCTGGAAGAGAAGGACACTCACTATTTCTGTGGAGTTTCTCCCACACAAACCCCCCCTCAACCAAACCCTTATGTCCACGTGACGTATTTAACATCACAGAGGAAGCAGAGAGTCACATATCATTTTAGGTTGGAGCACCTATAGAATAAATTCCAAATCACCGAAAAAGGACAAAGAAGGAGGACAGAACAATCTCCTCCTTTTTTCCACACACACATGCACACACACAGTATTTTTAGATGGTTTACTAGCCATACCATAGAAGGAGAAATATGTTTTCTCTCTCCTGGTCTCTATAGACGACCTCGGGCTACAGCCAACACCAAGCTCCTATCTCCACTTCTAATTTCTTCACTCCATGATGAAATTAATGGGGGAAATATTATGTTTTGATCTATATTCTGATAACATTGTTCTAAATAGCCAAAAACATATGCTCTGTTGGTGAGCGACAGAAAGATTATCTTCCTGGCTTCTTGGATGTGTTGGATTTTGGACAAAGGCTGTTTTGCCAAGAATAGCTGTGAGTTATTTAGTTTTCTTCACAGTCATCCTTTGTCACATGTGGTCATCAAACCTAAACACACTCTCTGCTGCTTCTTTTTCACACCCAGTGACTCAAAGACGCCTGAAAGCTGCTGGAGCTGAGGTGAAGGAACATCTAAGCCCCTCATCCTAAGACAGCATGTCTGCAGTCAGATATGTTTTACCTCCTCTGGGTAAAGATTCGTTAAAGAGTCCCTCTGTGGCCTCGCAGGTGCTGCCATCCCCTCCACACACACGGCATCGGTCTTCTTTAGCATCAGATCCCAGGATGTTGTCGCAGCCCACATGCTTGAGAGAGAGACAGGGAGCGTTGTGTTAATTGCAGACTGGACGATGGATTCAGGAATCTTTAGGTTTCACTGGCTTCGATATATTTTTCGCTTTTTTTAATTTCAATATGGATAAAATATAAATATAATACATTCATAATACTGAGCCAATACTGCAACTAGGAAATACTCACTGGAGCACCAAATATATATTGATCCGCAGCTGGAAATAGTCCCCAGATGTGCCCAGCTGTTTTGAGAAATTGTTTAATCAAAATATATATTTATGGCCTTTAAAAACGCAACCACTCAGGGATAGACAAAAACACTGTTGTTATTTTGAATGGTATTTGCTGATAGTAGAAAAAATAACCTTATCCTTAATATAACTACACTGACACTCACACTTACATCTGTAAAAACTCCGATCCGACAGATATAAAATTGTTGATTTCAAATAAATGTTAATACGGAGGCTGCAGTCTATAAAATGTTCATCTGTGCTAACTTTGGAGTGATTGCTTCATCACTGCTCGATGGGAACTTCAGGAGATTCTGATTGAAGGTAACAACTGCTTCTGTTATTTTTCTATTTTAAATGCTGCATCAGCAACAATATGGACTCATCAGAGCATTTGCAATATGACAATATTTGTTACATGTCCAGCTAACTAAGTCTATGGTTATGACTATTTAGTTCTCTTGTAATATTTTAAACAAACAAAGCTACCATGCACTAATGTATGGAAATGTGTCGATGTTGATGAGAATGAGAATATCAATTTGCTGCATCTCTACACTTTAAAAGCAGTAAATGACTTTATCAGATGGAAACACAACTCCAGTCTTTTGGTGTCTGTCAGTCTCTAACTGTGTGATAAAAGCTTTCTCAACCTAATACTATGTGACGATACAACTGGGAGGATCACTGCTGTCACTGACATCTCCACTCTATACTCCTCTGGACCTCCCAGGTTCTTTCTACTCTCTATCACTATCTCCCCTCTCTCTCCCTGCGTTATTTGAAATCTCTCTCTCTCTCTCTCTCTCTCTCTCTCTCTCTCTCTCTCTCTCTCTCTCTTCAGCACATGTGCAGGACCTTTGCCAGTTTAGTGTTTCTGACATCTTTCCAAGCAGACAGTGTTCCAGAGATTTATCATGTGGCAGTGAACCCAGAGAGCCAGCCCCTGAAATAAAACGACATGCTGGTTTCAGACTGGAAATAAACCTGCTATGTGCCTCTGGTAGGGAATATTCCACCACTCTGAGTTCTCTTCCCATTAAAACACGCATCATGTTGTGTTTTTATATTAGAATCAGAGTAATGTTGTGGGCACAGGCACGAGATTTTCACGCCAAACAGGAATCAAATTGTACGGTCAGGTGGAAGTCAAAGCAAATACTTAAAGTGAGGCACCGAAAAGTTATTTCAGCTGCATCTCAGAAAATCCATGAAAAACCCAATTTCTCCACACACACACACAAACACACACAAACTGTACAAAGTGATTCATGCTCATGAAAACAAAGACAGCACCAACTGCCAAATCCTTTTGATAAAATGCTTTTTTGCCTTGTTATTAAGTCAGCCTTTTCAAATATATATAAAATCATTATTCAATAAAAACAATGATTTTTGTGTTTTATTTATCACAAAACAATCCTGGTCGAGGCTGCAGAGCCCTGATAAGAGCGAGAAAAGCAATGCCAGTCATTCGATCACAATCAGCCACAATCAGCAGCTCAAAGTCTGATTGTTCCTCACTGGAGAATGCTGTTTTTTTTCAGTAATGTTTATGCAGTTACTGTCTCCCAAACTTGAGGCACAGAAAGTGAGGAAACTCTTGCTAGGCCAGCTGACATAGAAATGAAATGTCACTCCAACTTTAACTCAACAGAATATCAGTCACAAACAATCACAAGAGGCCAACGAAGATGATGTCATACTGTGTCATGGCAGTAGACACGAAATGATTTTTATTGCATCTGACATGCATTTCACATCCAAATCAATCATAATATTGGATTTAGTTTGGAGAGTTACTGGCATCAACATTTCATTTCATCTTCTACAAATCTGCCTCATTTGCCCTCATTTCACAGGATTGACCAGATCTAGAAATAACTCGTTCTATTTAAAGAGAAATGATCCTTTAATCCAGTGGTTTTCAAACTTTTGCAGTATAAGGATCCCTTAACTGACACAAATTAGACCACAGACCCCATTTGACTTTTGGATTCAGATGTTTTATTTCAGGAAGTGTATGAAATGCAGGACTGAAATAGTCATGCATTCTCTCAGTGTGTTACTTATTATGGGGAAAATAAATTGTTCCCCTTTTTGCCACAGAACCCCTGAAACCCCTCAAGGGTCCTTAGGTGTCCCTTGATCCCACTATGATAACCCCTGCTTTAATCAATGAGATAGAATCTAGAACGTACATAAAATGTTAAAAATGAGTATCAGCCCTTGCACACTATCAATACAGAATTAAAACTCAAAATGAAAGAGTATACTAGATCAATTTGTGACCTGGGAATGGAACCTTGGTCACGTGATTCTCTTGTCCACTAGATGTAACTTATTTATAACCATGTTTCATGTCATTATTTATTATACAAACATTATTATTGAATTATTATCTTATTCATTATTTCTAAAGTTGTCAGGCTGAAGAAAGAAGAGTTTATTATAATCCAACATCTTACTCATCAAAGTAAATCATCAGTTTTGGGAGAGTGGCTACGCCACTCATAATCCTGTCGTCTGTACACGAACTAGTAATTAGTTTTAGGAACTGCTTTTGTTGTCTCTTACTCTTCTTCCCTGTACATTCTTTACAACCTGTCACTTCATCTGATCTATTCCCCATTGGATCAATATAAATGGTGCTCTGGTGGTCTGCTATCTTGGCAAGGGGCATATAAGACAAGGCACTGCTCCCTTACCTTACACTCTCCATTGATGCAAATGTTCAGGGAGTCAGCCTGACATCGGGTGCCGTCTATGACTGCAGGAGTGCGCTCAGTGTAGAAGTTGTAGCCCTCTGCCAGGCAGTTCAGAGCACAGGGCTTAACACCACCTGGGTTACACAGAATACACAGACAGAACTCACAGTTATTGATGTTTCAGGCTGCACTCATACGACACAGACAGCACAGCACCAACCCTAATACAACCTATTATGCGAAGACACTAGTCCTGTCCCACGACTGGCAGCCAGCTCTGAGGTCTCCTTTCAACTGGTTGACAGTAATATTCATGTGGACTAAACAGTGGGGCTCGGATCTAAAACCACAAATATGACGTCACCGTAACGCTGACACCATCAGAGACGGGACTGGCTGCCAACAACAATTACATTGACATCCACGTGCAGGTTATCCACTGTTGTACATGACAGCTCCCAGCCCACAGAGTGCTGTGAGTCAGGAGGTGATGGATTTGACAAAACAGACCCTAGTGATAAAAGAGAAATATAACTTAAGCTTTTCCATCTCTGAAGGAAAATAAAAGCCATGTTTGCATGTTTCAAACTCTTATCACTTTTTCTTTGAGCTATCTGTGTTTTTAGTTAAGTGGATATTTTCCATGATCTGCAAACATCAAGGGGAGAACTTAGGGGGAGAACAAGGCCTGCACTCCTTCACTGCTGCCAATAACTGTGATAGTACAATTGCATTTCCACCCATTCTGGCTCAGCCAGATAAGTGCTGATCCAGAATAGACCAAAGAATGAGCTCCAGCTCTTGTCCTGGGAGATTCATGACATGAGTTGTGTCAGGACATTGATATCTGTCCAAGATTTAAAATCTTCCAGGCTGGACCGGCAGCAGATTTGACCGGAGAGGCTCTTCAATCATGGCACAGTGTAAAGGAATCTCAAGAATTCTTTACTCATCAGAGACACCTTCTCTCTGTCAGTGTTAACTGGGAACACAAGCAGGTCATGTGTGGCACAAAAAGAATGACAGGGAAGCTAACTAAGAAACCTAGAGATTGAACACATGAAATATTCTGGAACAAGCTTCTCATGAGCACAAACTTGTGACATAATTGTTTATGAAGTAAAGAATTGGATCACTATAATGAAGCTATTGCACCAAACAAAGTAGTTACCTGACAAAAATATACAGGCAACTGTGAAGTAACTAACTAAATGACAACTGGATTTAAATTACAATTCACAAGAATAACACAAAACCTACCTTAACAAAACATTATGCTATTTATTTTATCCAAAGCTACTGACAATAAGTAATTATAGCTAAACAGCATTGGTTCTGACTCAAATGCATAAAAACAACTTACTCTTTAATACATATACTTGAGTTTAATACACATTCATCCCTCAAATTTGAATTTTTGTCAGTTTATTACAGCCATGGTTACTTTCTGTTAACTTTCATGTAGCAGAGTGAAATGAGAAAAGCAGATTTGGAACCAGTCAGATTAGTCATCATCATCATACATCAACCTTTACCTTGAAATATGACAATTCTAGACTCTTTCATTATTTGGTTTTGGCATCTGAACAAATTTTGTAAAGTTTGAGACAAAGCTTAACACACAAAGTTATCAAAAGATTTACAAATTGCTGTCTTTACTCACCTCCAGTGTAAGGCTTCCAGTTGTAGTATTTCCCTCGGAATGGCAGGCTGTCGAAATCGGCGCACTGCTTCTCTCGAAAGTCACGGGATCCTGCAGGGCACGCCTGCAGAGGGGACATTTTAACAACAGTGAGACACTAGAACAGATTTTTTATTTGTCTGCCCGTTTATGACTAATCAATATATTTGACATTAACGCTAACATGTTGAAAAGCAATGCTGCTGCTCCAAGCACACAAATGCTTTCTTTTGTTTCTATACAATACAAAAATCTACAAACAGACAATAATTTAGTTGAGTCATCTAACAGCAATTAGCGTCAAATCCTCAAGGAGATTCATGATGAGGAAATACTAAGGCCAAGAATTGATTTATACATTCAAAGACTGTCAGACTGGCTTCTTTACATTTTATTCACTCACTATATTTGTTACCAATCTTGGATCATAATGCACGCATTGTGAAGAGCTCATTATTTAATTTCTTCTTCCTCAAAGTTGCCTGGAAACAGTGTTTTTGTTTTCTTCTGCTGTTATGGCCATAAAAATGTTCTGAAAAAACAATTTAAGTAACAAAAGGAAAAGGAAACTTGCCTAACTTGTTTAATCCATCAAGTTGGATATCAATCATGCATCGCAGTGAGCCAAAGTTGCATTATTGTTAGAGGGTAAACAAATGTGCAAGGTTGTTCTGGTGGATTACAAATCTTGAAATGGTTTAAAGATTAATATTTTACTATCATACACAAATTAGCAAAATTCCATTAAGGCCTCAAACAAAATTTTCAAAAAAAGTAAATATGTGGAGTATGCATTCAATAATTGTCAGAAAAAAATGTGTGCTATTTAGGTTACACATTCAATCACACTGGTAAGACCTTTTAAAATTTTTACATGCAGGCTAGCATGCTGTTACCATTTGAGTAAGTGAATTATCTGCTGAGACTTCTTTATTCTGCGAGGTTTTTATTTGTAGAGACAAGACTGTTACTAACAAATGCACAAAAGATGTCACAAGATGTCACATTTTATTTTCCGACGCTAAAACAGACTTGTTCCTTGGAATTCCTAATTGAGAGCAGTGTGTTTTGCATTTGGAGAGATTGCTTTGTTTTCATGTGCGGATTTATGATGGATAATGAAGCACTTCTTTGGCTGGGTAATTAGAAACATAAACCCAGCTAGAGGAGGTAGAAGCCCGGCACAGTGCAGGCTGGTGCAGACCGGGTTCTGGCTCCGATTGTGGACAGATTTATCTGGGATGGGACTTCACTATGTGGATGTTGCTCCAGTAAGAGGGGGTAAAAAAAAGTGGAAAGAAGCATTTTATTGGTGTGAAAAGGTCCTTAGAAACCCCAAAACACTCTCCCCCAGGACAAATAAAAGCTCTCAGGTCAAAGCTGTATTTCACATGCTGAAAGTGTTCCACACTGGAGCGGGCCACAGGGAGGCTGAGCCACTTTCATTACCACTCAAGTGTTTTGCCAATATGGCAGCTTTAAACTTGCACATCAAACATGCAGTATGAGTCAGAAGAGACAAAATAATATTATTACAAGTGTGTGTTGAAATGACAATGCACAGCCAAATCATATTTAAATGTGATAACACGTGCCTGAGGGAAGGAAAAATTTAATTATCGGGGCTGCAAGCAAGAATTGTTTTCTTTTATCAATTAACCTGCTATTGTCACATAGAGTCCACAGAAAAGAAGTCTGCTCATTTAAACATGTTCAACCAGAGCATGTTGGGTGTTTCTTCTTTATAAACGATAGATAGATGATCACAATGTCCATTTCTGTTGATAACTATTGGAAGCATTAACTTTAAACTTTCTGCAGATGTTCATGGTGCCCAGAGGATGAATCTTGATAACTTTGGTGAGCCTCGGATTTTTCTCCCCTAGCGCTACCAGCAGATCAGTCCTTTCTCTTATCCTGTAACTATCACTTGATGGACAAAAACAAAAAATTGAGGAGATATTTATGGTTCCCACATGATGAATACTAATAATACAGGTCATCTGTGACTTTTCATCTTAACGTTTGCTATTTTCACTGAAATGTCTAGATAAATGTATTTTGTCACAGGCATTCCCATCCACACAGCGTTAATTGTGATAATTACGGTTATATATTAAATTGCATCATTATCAGGTAAAAACATTAATTAGTCCATGATGAAATGTCTGCAAAACTGAACACTACTAACAAATACAGCCTCACTGAGCCTATAATGTGGCTGTAGACTCTTAGTCAACTTCATGGCAGTACAATACTAACCTTATGGTTAGTCAATTAGAAAAGGATCCTGCCATAACTCTGATGTGGAGCATTATGTTAGTGGAGCAAGCCTTTTGGTGTAAAGCAACTTTCCACAGAGCAAACCCAGTAGTAACAGTGTAACAGGAAGGGAGGCACCATCAACAAATGATATCTGATGACAATAGTGATCAGAGTGGTATTAGCTGGCATTAAAATATCAATCTATGTGTGTGTGTAAGAAAGAGTATGTGTCATTGTGTCTATATCTGGTGCTCCCACACACACACACACACACACACACACACACACACAC